TCAGACTTCGACGCCGGCACTATCCGAGTTATGTGTCGATATAACCAAAAGTCTGAGCAGCAGCACAGTAATGTCTCCAGCGGCTTCGGAAAACAGTCCAGCCTAGTTGCGCAGTTCTCACTGACCGTCCGATTCTGAAAGTTTATCTCCCAACAGCATAAGATCCATTGTTGAGTTTGGTATTGGACGTAGCAAGGTCTCATTTATGCGTTATAATCGCAAATCAACACGGTTATTTCTTTCTTTTGCAGTTGCTTCAATAGAAAAAATATATTTGCTTTTATCACCTCTATGCTACTTGCAACCTGCGACTCAAATGGATATTTTGAGTAACTTTCACATTCATTGATGCTGCTTTTGCCATCCTTGGAGGTGACATACTGACGCGTTTTGACCTTCAATTCTGACCTTAAGAGGCACTGATTTCTGGGGGTTTCATCCACTAGTGAGACTGTTACAAATTTGAATTCAGACAGTACCACAGCTTCGTGATCAATAAATATGTTTTAGGCCACCCTAACTACCCCTTTATTAAGCAGCTGTCGTGATTTATTAATGCTGAATTGCTCTGATGATGCGTTCGAGAGGGGATGCGAAACGTCAAGGGAATAAAGTATCGCTCCATTGATCGCGTTTATAGTCTGTTCAACAGCCAGAATCTGAACTCAACAGGCTTCTTTCGTCAGGATCTTTCGTTCCGCACAGTATATGTTTATATCTCGCTCAAAAGTTAATATTATCAGTTTATTACCAAATAAAGGTCAAATTCAGTTGTGCATCCCGTACTTTCACCACTCGCTTTGAGATGGTATAGCTGAGAAGTTTATTCCTTAAAAGGTGTACCAATGGTTAGGCAATCACGACCTATGTTGTGTTGAATTTGTGTACGCTGGTACGCATGAGCTATTGGCGGTGAGTTCTGAGGTTCACGTTTAGCAGTCGGTTGAACGGCGCGGCTCTTCCGGCATTGATAGAAGCAGCCCACAACTGGAGTTGGGGGCGCCCTATCTCGATCTCTGGAAGCATGTAGTGAACAATTATGGGCAAAGTACCTTATATAGTCCCCCTCACATACCCCTAGTCCAAGCATTTTGTCCTACGAGAACGGTGGTTATAGCGCTCTTGGGGTGGAGAAATAGGATAGACTGAGAAGGAAATTGTTATAAGTGTCAAGTGAAAAAATGTAATCAAAATTGTTTCCCACGGCGCTGGTTGTTAGTTGTTCTGCATGTATATTGAAGGTGTGCGCGGCGAGCAAGTTGGACCTCAGGTAAGTTGAAGTAGACGACCTCCTAACCACCATTTCTATTTTTTGGGAATTATAAGAAACCTGCAATTTGATAATCTGGTTTTTCCGCAATATGTTGAACGATAATACAGATTAGGAAAATCTACAGACATAAATTAACAGCACTTATAAATGCTATAAAATTAAAATGCATAAAGCAGTTATAAAAGTATATTCCATGGCGTGTACTAATTCCCCATCCATAAAACCCTATAATCACCGTTTTCGTAGGACAACATGCTGAGAGTAGGAATTAATGAGGGGGACCACATAAGCTACTGTTGCCCACTAATAAATTCAAATCTCTGGTGTACAATGGTTAGACCAGTTCAAATGTCTTTGTTCCTATCATCATCGACCAAGAAAATTGCTTCTTCAATTTGGTACGGGTCGCCATCGTGTGTTCTATCTTGCAGTGGCTCAAGGACCTAGTGGTCTACCGCCAAAAAGTTAACCCTGACCGAGGAGAATATGGCATCCTCCAATGACATCTAGGCCATCGTAGCCGCAGCAACCCTGCTTTCTTATCCATTTCCCAGTCGCCGACTGCCTGACAGATGTTTGTCACACTGCTGTCAAGGCATCTGTCCAGCAAACCGTCTGTAATGGTCAGCATCCCTTGTGATTTGTTTCAAAGAGACTTTACTTAGGACAAACCCGAAACTGTGTGTTAACCTTAAGAGTGGCAATCTTCCTGCTCAATCGGCAGTTTCTTGAGGAGTATGAAAATGTTTTGCTCACAGACCACCGTGAAAGCGCGTTCTTATCGATAGGCTCCTCGTGAAAATTTTCATTTAGACTTTATTTTCCGGTTTTTCTGTGTTCATTTACATGAACGTTATCAAGCATGGAGGTGCATTACAGTAGGCAAAACCGTACAAATGTCAAGTTAAGCCCTTAAACCCAGGAAAATCTACGACTCCACCAAAAGGACGATTCTCAACTTTTTCGAGAAGTTCTCATTCCTAACGGTGCTGGCACCATTATTTGCGCTTTTTCTGCTTGTAGTTAAATTTCCTCCGTGTCTAGAACGATGCGATAGCAGGACTTTAACGTCAGTTAAATCCTACCCAACCTTTAAGTCGGACTGAGAGTAAAATTAATTGACGATCAATTCGTATATTTCAACATCAACACTGAAGTGTACTATTAGACAGGCTCCTTTCTCCTACGTCAGCTGGCGAAAAAGATATTAATCCGTGAATTTCCTGGTGGATACATTTCCCATTTCTGATGTCCCCTTCAGCCGCATGCATCTTTTTCCCTTTTTAATTCATCAATTCCTGGCTTCTGAGAGTCATTGACGGATTTACTCAGTAACCTTTTGTTTTCATTATTATTGATACCTCCGATGAAATCGTAGCCAAAGTCCTTATGACGCAGTGAGTGCCCAAAATTTGGGTTCCTGAAACTGCCTTGACTGAAAGATGGAGTCAACGTTACTCCGTGTTTTATTCCCTATCTCGGTACCAACCGGAATGCGAAGAATGCATACCACCTCCAGGTAACTTAACTCATTGAACTCTACAGGAGTATATGGCCTTGAGGGTTCGGCCGATCCTATTCACTGGTCACGCATTCGATTATGCTGCCCCCCTGTTCTAATCTGGAGACTGGCATGACACCGATGGCTCATGACCTCAGAACTCATATCATGACAGGTATGGCCGAGCTCCGATGGCGCACACTTGGTTCTGCCGTAAACTGACAAACCTGGACAAGTGCGTCTATGGTTAATCATAAGAAGTGGTTGATGACAGAAAAGGGAGTGGGAAGGTGCTAGCGACTGTAACTGAAGAGCTGAAGATAAGCATATTGTTTATGATAACGTGAATACATGGACGAAGTCAATCACTTTCAATTTTTCGCTAACTTTCACAGTTTGGCTGCCAGAACCAAAACTCATTATTCCCCAAACATTTCATCTATTTCGGCAGCATAATTATTTTGATAAAAGATGGCTCTAACCCAAGGTAGTGTCCCGTTGTCTTTAGCAGACAGGTAAGCAAGAAGAGCGTAAATTGTTTTCACAACTAGGTCCACGACTTATTCAAATTGGTTAAAAAAGCAAATTAATCGAGTTAGGCTGGTAGTAATTTGGTGGATTCGAGCGCAGTTGCTCGGGAAATTACGTTTGGGTGATCAGCTTACTGTATCGAGATTGCCGGCTTCCATAGGTAAGCTGGGCGGGTAATTTGAGCCGAACATGGCTCAAATGACGGCTTCTGGTGGGTGAATCATTGCTTCGGTGGTTAGAGCGTTTGTTGTATTCAAGCCTGGCCCTTACTGCAACGGTTTTCGATGCCACTGAGCTTTCCAGAAAATCAGATCAGCTAAATTATAATTTTATTGAGGTGTCTTCTATGAAGTTGAATTCCGTATAAAGACGAATAATTATAAAATCGACTGTGTCAAGTTGATAGATGAGAAAACTCACGAAGCCTTTCCAGCCTCCGCAAAGTCGGTTTGGAGTTTTTCCCCACCTTCAACTTCCATGGTACAATAGACCATTTTTGTAGGCGGGAGGTGCTTAAGGTTTTTGACTTGTATCACCACGATCTACAATAGGCAACAAATAAGAGATAGGATGTTATACAAGCCCATTTAGCCGGTTTATAAATATAATTATCGTTAGACTGAGTTTCAGGGGGGAGTTCTCAACCATATTCAACTTCCAGTATTTTTAAACATTCGTTTTATGTTCACACATTCATGATTTTCCAGTGATTATTTTGAGATTTTCATTCGCACACCCTTAAAGAGCTCTCTTAACGAATGTCTACACTGACAAAACGCACATTTATATTGGATAAAAATAGTCTGGATTTCAGTGTAGCATTTGCTATTATGATTAAATTTAGATTTGCTTCCAAGAGCCAGTCTCTAGCAGCGTGGAAATGATTAAGTATAATTAGTTTATTTGTTAAACTAACTTATCTGCAGAAAATTGCAAGAAGTATGGCATTAGTAGGAATGGTGTCAGTGTGGTCTTAGTAGACATGCATATAATAATAGCATTATCGGATAACTGTAGTAAAACGCAGTCAATACCTACCTCGAGATTGAAGGTCAGTTGAATGTCGAGTTTATTGACGTTAATATCCGGAACATCCTCGCTGTGGTCGCGTAAGCTGAGACTACCAGTGTGGTTTCGTCCCTGTTTCTTGAATTTTTGAAAGCCCCCAGCGCCTTTTGTGACGGGCACGGACTCAAGTCGAAGCATTAACTCGCCCACCATTGACCGAAGCTCTTCTATGTAGAGGGGTTCCATGGATTTCAACAGTAGCTTCGGAATTGCACGAGACTGAAGCGTGCGTGGAAAATAGAATAATTAGTAACTTTACACACACGGATATAATAGCAAAGCAAGACTAACCGTAATGTTGAGGAGAAGAGCAAGCCATGTCGATCACCGCAGTCATAGTTTTATCAATCTGAGCTTTCGAACTCTTGCAGGATTCTATCGTCAGAGAAGGAATCGTCAACGAAAACAAGCAACATTTAGAGGGGGAAGGGGCCAATTAACCGTCATAGGGGACAGACTGGACGCATACTGGGTTCGCGTATACACGAACATAAGCTGGCTGTTCGACAGGTTGAGGCATTTTCGCAAATGGCGGCCCTCACCTACGATAAAGGTCACGAGTTCAACTTCGCAGCTGGGAGGATTATTGCCCGCGCCAGCAGCAAGACGGGCCGAGAACGGATTGAAGCCAAGACTTCGGATCAAAACTCAGTTAACCGATGTATCGATCTAGCGCTCGCATATGTTGCCCTGCGTTCGAAAGCTCAAACTAAAAAAATATAATTTCGGTGGTCGACACGGCCCCTTCTTCTTAATCTATACACATACCTGGGATGCGAACCTTTGCTTCACTTCGTACTGTAATGTGCCTAAGACCAGCAGGATCGTATCAGCTTATTGGAAAGAATGTCTTTCTAGTGCTTCTAATATTTCACCAAATAGAATGGTATACCTTAGCTTTGTTTTGAATAAAGTAGAGAGAGGTTGTAAACGGTTCGTGGAAAAATGCCTGAGATATCGGAAATTAGTGGTAGATTTGAGCAGAGGTAGCCCAAAGCGCTTTAAGAACTGGCCAGTACGCTGACCATATCAGAAATGCGATCGGCAGTGACATACATAATATACTCACTAATTTTGAAAATATATTTGTTTGTTTACAGGCTGCTAAAAACAAAAGAGTTTTTTGGAGTAATTTATATAATAAATACACTCTGTAGCGCAGCTCGTGAAATTTGATGAAAGAATTAAGATTCCCCATGGTAGACCCTTGAAATTTTATCAGTTTGTTTTATTCTTATAGATCATTTAGGAAAATTGCCGTTTTGTATGCACAATGTGTTTTTATTTCATTTTCCTAATTATTTTGTATTTTTAGGAAATTCTGCAGCCATGGAACTTCAGTTTTACTTCTTGGGTAATTTTTAAAATTGTTTATATGCGTGTTTTGTAGCAAACAAATACCTGCTTCAAAATAAACTCTGTGCAGCAAAAGTTTTTAATCTTTCACATTTCTAATATCCTCTTCTAAATTTTCAATTGCATTCAAGTTATGAAAACGTTACTTTGGGTACTTTATCCTGTGATGATTAGCAGTGTCCTCGAAATATTTGAAACAGTTACTAGTCAATGTTACTAAATTAACAAATATTTTGATGTGCATTACAACTAAAACATTTGGTGAACATGTAAAAAACAGGGAAGTACGCGTCCGGTTAAAAACATTTGAACGATTTTTAGTTTTTTTAGATTTACTTTGCAGAAACAATAGCGTACGGAAGTTCTAAAATATTTAGGAAAATTGAAGCAATTGTTCTCCGGTACGAATTTAAAACAAGCGTAGACAGCAAGATTTACTGACGAATTGAGGCAAATGTTCGCATCCCACGTACGTGTGTAGATAGAGAAGTAGAAGGCGTTGCGATCACCGGAATCATAATTTTAC